ACAATAAACAGGCCTGGCCAGCCAGGGCAGGGAGCAGAGCCCTCTCTCTAACCAGCAGATAGCTGCAGGCCACAGGCACTGGACAACCTTTGATCCAAGTCACAAACCAGAACTGGAGCTGGGGGAAGGGAAAACTGAGAAGCTACTGTTGAGCCTACTTGCTTATCAGTGCTCTTGTGAAGTGGAAGCTTTCCATGGCTCTTGGCCCTCCTAAGATTACAATCGCATCGATGCCCTTGAAGAGGTCAAAAGAGGAAGTTGGTTGTAAAGGATGAAGAGCAAACGGAGAGACAGAGAGACGTCCAGGCAGTGAGAGGGAGCCTGAGATCCAGAGCAGGGCTGGGCCAGCCTCCCCAGGATTGAGACAAGCTCAGACCTTTCTGGAAGTTTCCTAGGAAGCACTTAGGGAGAGCTTAAAGACTTTAACTTACTCCTCCATCCACATCCCCAGGCACATTTAACAACCTCAGCCTTCGAGGAGGAAAATTCAGGCTGCAGGTTCTAGGGAAGAGACAGAGGCTCTTGTTGGAAATGTGCTTCTGTGTGTCATATTTTTCCTCTTTTGAAAAGAGAATGAAAGGGATTCAAGGGAATGAATCGGAGGGTCACTTTAGGATGTCAATGTTAGAAGGGAAACAAGATTATGTAGTCTAACTCTCTCCTTTTGCAGATAAGGAAATGACTCAGGAGGGGAAGGGACTGGCCCAAGTCAGAAGCAACTATGTGGCAGATGCAAGAACCCAGGGTCCTGAGGCCTGGCCTGGCCCTCCAGCACAGATTCCATGGAGATGGGTGGGGATTGAGGGTGGAGGAAGGTTGCCAATGTGCCCAAAGTAATTTCTTCTTCCCTCCCCACTCCCAGTAAGCTGAGTGGCACCTGCCACCATCTCCCCTTTCAAAACACACACACACACATCACTCATTTTATGGAGGCTCAGTATGTTTTGGGATTTGACAAAGCCCAAACCAGGGCAGGGGTGTGGCAAGGGACAGAGGTGGGTGGGGGTGGTGGCTAGAGAGGGGGTAACAAGGGAGCAGAGGTGGACGGGACCTGTGGCTACGGTTCTTCAGCTGCTCTGGCATGAGCAAGAGTGACCGTGCGGGGACCTTGATGACCCCTGGGAGTGGGAGACTTTCCTAAGCCTCAGTTGAAGACAAGAGCCCCATCCTAACCCCTCCCCCCACCCTTATGCCTTCCTCAGTCTCTGGATCTGGAACAACGGCCTGGTCACGGCAGCTGGAGCTGCTGACCATTTCTTGGCAGAGGGACACACCAAAGCCAGTGGTACTAGTCCTCGCCGCCACAGAGAGCCAGCAAGGCCTTCAGGAAGTCTCCGGAGGTGTCACCCTGGCAGGGGCAGAGGGAAAGTAGAGTGAGTGGAAACAATTCTGTCTGAATGCCCACCTCTTCTCCTAACTACCCACCAGCCTGGACATCTCCCTTGTACTCTCTGTCACCAACAGAGCTATTATATGAAGGCCAGAGAGGTCTCTTGTGCATAAATTGATCACATCCCTTCTGGGGCCCTGTGACCCCTCAGGAATATATGCCAGCTCTTGGCCTGGCTTCAAGGACCTCTGGACCCTTAGAGCTTGCAGCACCCCGCCTCCCGTCCTCCTGGGGGCAGCACTGTCCTCTTGGCTCCTTCTCCCATTATTCCAGCTGTCCACAGGCCCCTGCACCTGCCCCAGGTCCTGTCTGCAGCAGGGCCCTCTCCTCCCAGGACCTTCCTGCCATCCATCTTACCTTAGGAGGCAGAGTGCTTCCTTCCCACCTTGGTTCCCTTCGCACACCACAGAGACCCTACCCTCACAAGTCATGTGACCTGAACAAGCACTGCTGAGCCCACTGGTGACATGCTCGATCATCATTGTACTCACTACACAGCACAGTGGTCTGACACACCACTGTCAAGCGGGGAAGGCCAGTGTAGCCTATGCTACAGAGCCCCCTTTAGAGGGCTCCTGTCACTTACGAAAACCTATTTATGATATGTGGGTTTCTGGAGTTTTGAAGTACTTAATATGTGATTTTTTTTTCAAAATAATGTTATAATTGTAAACAATTCAGATCAAAGGGATGATTGTACCCAAAAGTCTCCCTCCCATCCTTGGCCCCTAGATTCCCCAATGAGGAGGCAGCTACTGTTACTACATTTTTATATGATTTCCTAGCAACAGTCTGTATACATACAAATACAAGTACACAAACAAATACATATACATCCCTCTTCTACACAAATGGACTCATATCCTGTCCTGGGCTGTACTTTTTGACAAATCAACACCTAGAGCCTTCTCATACTTTTTCAAGGCTGTATTATATCCCATTATATGGATATACAGGTTGAGTATTTCTTATCCAAAATTCATGAGATCAGAAGTGTTTGGATTGGGGATTTTTTAAAAAAAATGTTGGAAGGGCTGGGGATGTGGCTCAAGTGGTAACGCCTGGCATGCGTGGGGTGCTGGGTTCGATCCTTAGCACCACATAAAAATAAAGATGTTGTGTCCACTAAAAACTTAAAAAAACTTTCTCTCTCTCTTCTCTCTCTCTCTTAAAAAATGTTGGAATATTTGCATACGTGTAGTGAGATGTCTTGAGAATTGGATCCAAGTTCAAACACAAAATTCATTTATGTTTCATATGCATCTTACACACATAGCCTGAAGGTAAATCTACACAATGTTTTAAATAGTTCTATACAATGTTTTAAATAGTTCTGTGCCATTAAACTAAGTTTCATGATATGGAATTTTCTACTTATACTACCGCATGTTGATGCTTAAAAAGTTTTAAATTTTGGAGCATTTCAGATTTCAGGTTGTCAGATTAGGAAGGCTTAACCTGTACCATATTTTATTTAACCAGTTCTTTATGGACAGCTTCCAATGTTTGGCTATTATAAACAATACTGGCATAATTATTCTCCCATATGTCTTTGGGAGCATGTACGGTTAATGTCTGTAGAATAAATTCCAACAAGTAGAAATTATCCAGTCAAAAGTGCACACACTTCAAATTTTGAAACTGACAAATTACCCTTTCAAGGTGTGCTACCAATTTAAATTTCCATCAATTCTTCATAACATTGCCTGTGATACCCACAGGGCTGTCAAGCAAGTATAGACAGCATCAAGCTCTAAGATTTGGGCCAATCTCAAGACCAAAAAAAAAAAAAAAAAAAAAAAAAGAGCTCCATAAGTAAAGAAGCCAGACACAAAAGGTCCCTATATGAAACCATTTATGTGAGATACTTAGAAAAAGCAAATTCTTAGATAGAAAGATTTGACCCCTAAGGTCCCCAAAATCTAGAGAAAGAAAGTAGCCTGGTGGCTGCCTACACCTGGGAGTAGAAATAGGCAGGTAGAAAGCACCTTAGTGGGATGATGGAAATATCTGGAAAACTGTGGTGGTGATGGGTACACAACTCAGTAAATTTACTAAATATTTCTGAATTTTATGATATGTGAGTTGTGCTTTAATAAAAATTTTTAAAATTAAAAAAATAGGCTTTTTCATTTGAATATCTTTAGCTATGAACTTTTGGTTCTTCTGGAATTGATCCTGGTATCAACAGTAAGATGGTCTCCTTTCACTGAGCCACATGCTGTTCTACCAGGGAACCCACTGGCAAACCTGTCCCCTTACCTCGATAGCTTGGTGGAGAGACTTGTCGTATTTCTCAATGAATTCCTGCCGGATGTTGAACAGGTCGATCTCACTCCGGGAAACCATGACTCTGGTGAGCGTCTTCTCATCTGTGCCAGCGCCCTATTGGAGCCAGGAAAGAGAGAGACACGGGCAGGAGACAGAGCCGGTGAGGCAAGACATGGTGGTGTCCACCCGCCTCTCTCTCTTTCGCTCCCAAAACTGGGGTGGGATATTCTGCCTCTGTTTTCCACAAATAGTCCTGACCAAAAGTCCCCTGTGGGGCTGGGGTCCTGGCTCAGCGCTAGAGCACTTGCCTAGTGTGTGCAATGCCCTGGGTTCAATCCTCAGCACCACATAAAAATAAATAAATAAAACAAAAGTATTGTGTCCAACTACAACTAAAAAATAAATATTAAAAATAGAGTCTCTGCACATGTGATCGGTTAAGACGAAGTCATATTGCATTAGGTATGGCCCTAGTAACTGGTGTCTTTATTAGAGAGGGGACAGGAGTGCACACACAGAGGATGTCATGTGAAGATGAAGGCAGAGACTGAATTAGTACATCCATAAAACACATGTGCCAGGGCTTTCTGGCAACCACCAGAAGTTGGGAGAGTAGCATGGCGGGGAGTTCTCCCTCAGTGCTTCCAGGGAATCAACCTGGCCCAGGTTGATTGTTAGCCTCCAGAACTCTGAGAGAATAAGTCTCTGTTGTCCCCCAATTTCTTGTGATTTGCTATAGCAGCCCTAGGAAATGGTACAGGGCCCAAGATACTGGGCACAGAAGGTACAGGCAGCCAGGGCCTGCCTCTGCCCCCAGCTCTGCCACTTAGGAGCCATGTAAATATGGGTGAAGTTTTCACCTATGTGGGCCTCAGTTTCCTCCTTATACAATAAGGATACTATCATGACCTCATAGGGTTGCTGGGAGGGTCAACTGTGTTCAGGGAGGTAAACAATTGGCATAAAACTTGGCACATGGTAAGTGTTCAATAAATGGCTACCATGCTTGGGGATTAGGCTGAGTGGGGTCTCAGACTCCTTCCCACCAAACCACATGCCTGGCTCTGTCAGCAGTTGAGATTTCAGCATTTGGACTTGGAATGTGGCCAGCATGGCCTGGAATTTTCAGGAAGAAGAGGGCTAAGGACTTGTGATCTTGGATAATCATTTGTCAAGAGACGTTGTCACCTGCTAGAATGTGAGCTCTGAGAGGGGACTCAGCCCTTTGTCCCCACAGCAAGTTTCTCAACTTCAGCACTTGGGGCCAGATGATTTCTTTGCAGTGGGGACCTGCCCTGTGCACTATGGGTTGTTTAACAGCAGCCCTGCTCTCTCCCAGCAGATGCCCAGAGCAACACTCGTCAAATCCTGACAATCCAAAATATGTTTGGATATTGTCAAGTGTCCCCCGGGGAGCAAGATCAATGCTACTGGAAAATTTCTATCCTGCAGCCAGACAAGGGCAGATGCTGCTTTAAATAACAAGAGGTAAGAAACAGTGGCCAGAAGTCCTGACCCAGGGTATGTGCACGTCTGTGTTTGTGGGTACATGAAAGTCAGTGCCTGAAGGGAAAGAAATAAACAAGACTTTCTTACCTTCATGGATTTGTAAAGTTTGTCAGCAAAGAAGAGAGGCTTGTTCTTGACACTCTGAACTGGGAGGGAGAGGAGGGAGATGCAGGGAACTTAGAGCTGTGCACCCAGGCTCTGTGCTGGAATTCCCCTCTTACCCCACTCTCCCAACCTGGGCCTGCAGATCATTGCAAACCCCAGGGTCACTCAGGGGATGACAGCTTCACTTCCCCTTCCCAGTGCCACCTCCTTTGCTCCTTCCTAGGCCTGGCTCTCACTGGACTGCAACTCACTTCCAGTTAAGATGCTTGCAGCTCACCCAGGTCAGAAGAGGATTCCAAGGGAATTAACCCCTTCTGAGCCCAAGGAACAGGGCCTCAAACTTTCAAGCACATCAGAATCATATGAGAACCTTGTTTAAAACTCAGGTTTTAGGCTCCCCTCTTGAGACTTAGATTCTAGAGACATTTTGAGCAGTGGTTCTAAAAGTACGATGCCCAGACTGACAGTATCCACATAACTTGAGATCTTGGTAAAAATGCAAATTCTCATGCCCCACCCCAGATGTGCTGAATCAGAAACTCTGGAGGTGGGTGACCTACTCATCCCAGTTTGCTGAGTACATTCCCTGTCTTAGCACTGAAAGTCCGTACAAACCAGGATAGCTGCTCTCCCTACTCTAGTGATGTTTGAAAACTACTGATCTAGAGAATAGCAACCCAAAGAATGACTGTCAGTATACTTTAAGGCACTGTGCCAATCCCTGGGGCTGACTGTTGCCCCAGGGCCTGCACATTCTTGCTGCACTGGCAGCCCCTGCACCCCACCCACACAACAGCCAATGTCACCAACACAGCACTTTTTCAAGGCCTGGGGTTCTCTGGGGTTCGCAGCTGCCTGATATCAAGGCTCCAAGGACCAATGGGGCTGTCTCAGCTTAAGGAGGAGGATTAAACACCAGGAGCAGAGAGCTGTAAGACTCTGGGGAGAAAATTATCTATGAGACCCCGGAGCAAGAGGCTGGCCTTGCTTACCCCAAAGGCACAATCCCACGTAGGCCCCTCTGGAAAGATCACATCACACACCTCCCTGCTTAGCTACTGATGCAGTTCCCCATAAGCTCTTAGGCCTGAGAGCCAAAGCTCCTGCCCCCTAGTCACCCTTGCTCCCTCCCACTGAACACAGTGCACATTCCTCTGTGTCTTGTCTGCCTGATATGGATGTGCTTCCTATTTATTTTATTCTTCCCCTAAACCCCATCCTGCAAGGTTGCACTTGATGTGCACGTCTCCTCCAATCACGACACCACCTCCAGGAAGCCTTCCCTGATTCCAGGTCTAGGGCTTCGTGAGTCTAGTTAAGGAGCACATTGAGCAGAAAATTTTCTCCTCTACAATCAACCCTGCAAGCCTTCCTTGCAATAGCCTATGTGCCTCAAGGGACCCTGGTGACTGCCATGGGTGGAGTGGTATAGTTTGGTATGGTATCACGCCATGCATACACGTTCAAGGTGGGAGGAAAGAAGAAAGAGGGAGAAACATGAGAAGGGCAAGATTCAAAGGAGTCTCCAAAGGCTGATTATTCTGGTGTTAAGAACACGGGTTTTGGACTCAGGCGGCCCCTGGTTCTCGTGTTAGCATTATTCTCTCTGAACCTCAGCACTGTCCTCTGTGAAGTATCTGGTGAGGATCTGACCAAACCATAACGAACCTTGCACAGAACCTGGTGGAAATCACAATAAGTGCTCACGTTGCCAGTGGCAACCTTGTGGCAGGGGGCGCTGCTCTAAGTACTTTATATATACTTACTCATTTAAATATTACGAAAATACGCTACAGGCTGGGTATTATTGCTATCTCCATTTTACAGAGAAGGAAACTGAGACACAGGCTTTGTGACTTGCCCAAGAACACGCAGCTAGCAAGTGGAAGAGCGGGGACTCCCCCTGGAGCCCATGTTTTTAACCACAAGGCCGTCTGGCTTCCTGGACACTGTGCTCAGTGGCAAAGAACCATTACGTGGTAAGTAACAACAGCAACAGCATTTCTATCCATCTAATCCAAACCACCTTTCTTCCACATTAGCATCTCTGAAATCCAGATGCATTTTATAATGGATGGTAGTTATGGGAAATCCTTCCGCTGACACCTCCTGGCGAGATAAGGAAAGTACATGTATCAATGCATCCTTTTAATGCATCCTATGCCAGTAATAAACACGAATAAAATCAATAGCTAGGCGCTCAACCCTTGCTCCTATCTATTTACTCACGCTTACACATAGAGAAACACAGATCCAAAAGGGAAAGACTTCTTTAAAGTCAAGAACTTGATTTATGCAGGAAAAGAGGAACCAAAGATAGGTATTGGGAGGAGGAAAGAGTGCGTGTGTGTGCAGTGTGTCATGTGTGAATATATCCTGCATGTGCATGTCCTTAGGGTCTTGTGTGTGCATGTGTGGTGGGTGTGACTGTTTGTATATACATTCTAGTCCTGCAGGACACCAAGTTCTTCCCTGTCCTCCTCACTGATCCTTCCCCAGGGAGGGCTGGTTTTGCATCCTGTCCTGCAGCCTGGAACAGATCCTCATGATGCTCCCAACAATCTCAACTGGCAGAAACCCTGGAGGTGACCTTAGACAGAATTCACTCTCCAGAGCCAGTAGCACAGGAAGCTGCTAAGGTGGCACTCTTTCAGGGAAGCTGGCCATGTTCCCAGTTTCCCCAGTCCCTTCCCTTGGTCCCTGTCAGTTACCGATGGCCACAAAAGCGTCCCTGACGTCCCCAGACATCTCCTTCTTGATGATGTGCTCCACATCATAGTTGGTCATCTTGATGAACTCCTGGAAGACTGACCCCAAGAGAAGCCCCAGAGGTGACAGTGAGCTTCAGTTCAGAGAGGGAGATCACCACTCCCCAGCCCCACTCAGCTCTGCCCACAGGCTGTATTGGGGAAGAGGAAAGGGGAGCAGAGGTGGCCACAGACAGGCTAAATACACCAGGCAAGACCATGGTGAGAGGGAATTCTGACTTCAAGGCTGCTGTGGGCCCAGTGCCAAATCTGTGCCAGGCCAGAGCCCCCAGGCTGCCTGGAAGCCCCTGAGACTTGGACAAGAACAAAGGACCCAGGCTGGTGGGGTAAAGGGAACAGGCATGTTGGTCATGGCTCTGCCCCTGGCTCACTGAGTGACCTCAGGCGAACCCTTTCCCACTCTGGGCTTCTTTTTCCTCATGGGTCAGGTGGGGACACTAAGACTAGTCTTGAGTACAACCCTTGGGCAGCACATGGGCCAAGGACGGTGCTACATGCTTGACATGTATTGTGTTTTGTGTTCTCACAACAATCACATGAAGCAGAAGTAAAATCCCAATTCCTAGGTAAGGGATTTAGGTATAAAGATTCAGAAACTTGCCCAGAGCCACATGGCTGATAAGTGGGGGATTCATTTCAAGGTGGTTCAGTGCCCTAGTCCATTCTTTCAGCCACTATGTTAAAGCACCAGCTGTACTGAAATGTGCCAGATGAATGCATATTCAGCTGCTTTAGTGGAAAGGGCACTTTATGGTCTTCTCATGCAAGGGCCCCTACACACAGGTGTGCCTGTGTGTGTGGCGGCCTGTGGTTCAAACACTTACATATGGTCTTGTGTGACCACCGCCCCTCACTGCCTTGCTCCTAGCAGGTATCACCAATGGATTGTGACATTGAACCTCAGAAGCCTTCTCAACACAGCAGCTCCTTTCCAATCCGCCAGTGTTGGCCTTTGAGGTGAAATCCACTTGCCAGCCCTTATCCCAGGCATCTCACCTGCTTCTCTTAAGGAGGTGAAGGGAGATGGCCCGAGGCTGATGATATGCCAGGGTGCCTGTGTCCCCATTAGCCACAGCGTCCCCTACCACTGCAGGAATAGGGAGGCAGATGGTGTGCAACTGGTTCCTCTTCACAGAGAGCTGAGAGGCTCTTGCTGGATTGGAACTCTTCCTGCTGAACTGGAAGGAGTTGGGCCTCACCTCTCCGTAGGTGCGGGTAGCTACGGGTGCACAGGATCGTCATGAACCGAGTCTCCAGGGAAGTTTTATCTCCGCTGGGAGTATCTGCGATTTCCTGCAGAGCCCGAGTAGGGACAAGGATTTGGGAGGGGAGACATAAGAAAGTCCTGGTTATGATCCACTTTCCTATCTGAGAGGCTGAGGCAGTTGGAAGCGGGGCTGATCCAGCCGCCATTGGAAGAGGCTGAGGTTAGCCTCCTTTTCCTCAGCCTCCAGCACAGTGACCTCCACATTCCCCTCTTCAGGTCCCAGAGGCCCAGTGGGCACACTCATGGGCTCGGCACTGGGTGTTTCCACCCTGGCCTTGGGGACTGGGGCCCAGGGGACGGACCAAATTGGCATTGGGCACAGAGACTCAGGGTTCTCCTGCCTTTTGTCCTCCAATTAGAGAGCCCCTCTGGGGAATGTGTACATGCACACAAGCAAGGAAAATTGGCCTAGTCAGTGTTTCCCCAAATAGAGTCAAGGGCAGACATTTTAGTTTTTTTTTGGAGGTGGGGTACCAGGGATTGAACTCAGGGTCACTCAACCATGGAGCCACATCCCCAGCCCTATTTTGTATTTCATTTAGAGACAGGGTCTCACTGAGTTGCTTAGCACCTCACTTTTGCTGAGGCTGGCTTTGAACTCATGATCCTCCTGCCCCAGCCTCCTGAGCCACTAGGATTACAGGCGTGAGCCACTGCGCTCCGCAAGGCAGACATTTTAATACACCTACGTGTATGCTTCCACAGTTATCTTATAGTTGGCTACAGTTCTATTTACATCCACTTAACTCCCTTTGAAATAACTCATTTTAGGTTAACAAACAAGTGAGTGGACTTAAAGAAAACAATCATAGCCGGTGGTTAAGTAGCCCAAATTGTGCCAGAGATGAACCAGCAAATTTGGGGAAACACTTGCCTGGCCCATGTTTTCCCAGCAGGGTCCTTAAGGGGCCCTGAAAAGGAGAGAGAGAAGCTGCAGAGCAAGGCCCCCAGATCACTGCCCAGCCCCAAAGCACAGACTTTACTGAGGCTGTTAACATCCAGATGAAGATCGGGACACTCACCAAGATCTCAGCAGCCACCTGAGAGCGGGGAGGAGAGAGAGGAGGGAGAGAGGGGAAGGCAAGAGTCAGAGAGGCTGCAGAGGTTGGCTCTGGGGCTCCTGGGAGGCAGGGGGAGTGGCCGAGGTCCCCAAGAAACCCTGGGACCACTATGAGGGACAGGAGGGGAAAATGCCTGTCTCTGATCTTTGGGCTAAAGCTCAAAATGGGGCCAGGCCTGAAAATAACTAAAAACATATGCCCCTGGGGATAAGAGAAAGACACAGAAGTGTGTCCTTCCCTCCAGGTAACTTGGAGCTGGCTCCAGGCCTCAGTTTGCCTGTCAGAAAATTGGGAGAAAGAAACCCTATCATTCCCCACAGAGCTACTGAGAAGGTAACACACAAGGTGCAAAGTGCTCTGCACCTGTTAGTACTTTCAGAGTTAGCATCTGTCGCATGGGGACAGGATGGCCAAGGCTTCTGGGGGGTGATCTACCTGGGGGTGACGGCCTAGCTGCAGGGTGGGGAAGGCATTTCACAGGATTCTTCCTAATGCACAGCACAGTAGTCCATGGCTGTGCTTGGGAACAAAAGCAGGTGGCCTTTGTGTACCCAGACGATGTCACCTTTGCTTTCTTCCTTGACTCTTTGCTGACTACTTTATTCTCTTGGATAGAATGAAATCCTAATCTTTATAAACAACACTCTTATGCTCTGGAAAACTTCTTTTATTGCATAAGTTAAAATGTCTATCATAACTTGGAATGCACATGGCTTTTGGTTGAGCTATAACATTGCTAGGAGTGTGCCTTAGAGATGGACTGGCAAGTCTTCTACCCCATAATACAAAATGGGGCAAGGCCTGAAAATAATTAAAAATATGCCTTCTTTGCAATTGAGAAAACAAAACAAAACAGGGTATGGTTTAGCCAATCAAGAGAAATAATCCACACAACTTTTTAAAAAGAATGAGACTGAGGGCTGGGATTGTGGCTCAGTGGCAGAATGCTTGCCTAGCATGTGTGAGGCCCTGGGTTTGATTCTCAGCACCACATATAAATATAATTTTAAAAATATTTTTTAAAAATTAAAAAAGAATAAGACTGAGCCAGGTGCAGTGGTGCATGCCTGTAATCTCAGCCACTTGGGAGGCTGAGGCTGGAGGATCTCAAGTTTGAGGGTAGCCTCAACAACTTTGTGAGATACCTTGTCTCAAAAAAAAAAAAAAAAAAAAAAAAAAGGCAGGGGGTGGTGATGGCAGCTGGATATGAAGCTCAGAAGGAGAATGCCCCTGAGTTCAACCCCCAGTACTAAAAAATTTTTAAAAAAGAATAAATATAATTAGTCTGGGATGCATGAGCAAGGCCCTGGAAGAGGAAAAAACAAAAACAACAATGAAAGAATGAGATTGACCTACAATGCTAATAAGGCATTTCCATCTAAATGATATAGAAATATAAAATAGAATACATATATTGTGTATAACTGTGTTCCTTTTATCTAGATTAAAAAAAATAAACACTCCCCTGTTTACTTCGAAGTACATCAGAAATTACCAAGATATGGTTGACTATGGATTCCTTTGGGAAGGAATGTGAAGAAAAACTTCAGCATTTTCTTTTATTCATTCTGAAATGTCATGATTACCTTTCCCATTGTGGGAATATTACTTTACTTATCTGTGTAAATGTCAAACAGGACTTGTCAGGATTACTAGGATTATGAACAGCTTCTGGTTTTTAAATACTGTATTGAAAGCTGTATTAAAAACAATCCAGTTAAATCTTGAGGACATTGTGCCAAGTGAAAGAAGCCAGCCACAAGGGGACAAACACTGTCTGATTCTACTTACATGAAGCAAATTCATAGACAGGAAGTTGATTGGCAGTTGCCAGGGACCAGGGGAGAGGGAAACTGGTTAGTGGGTTTAGATTTCAGTTTTGC